AACATATTTAAGAACTTTTATGAAAATTTATACAAATCAGAACTTCAACCTAATGCTATGGAAGAAATAGATCGGTTTTTTTTCCCTCTATTAAACTCCCCTGTGTAACAGAAGACCAGAGAACAAGTCTTGATGCTCCTTTATCCAAAAAAGAAGTTCTAGACGCAATTAAGAGACTACAATCTGGCAAGTCCCCTGGCCCAGATGGGCTCAGTGTAGAATTTTATAAAGAGTTCCACAGTCTCTTAGTTGACCCTCTCTTAGACATGTTTAACGATTCTTTAATTAAAGGGACTCTACCACAAACATTGAGAGAAGCAAATATCTCTTTGATCTTAAAAAAGGGTAAGGCCCCWGAGAAATGTGCATCCTATAGACCAATTTCCCTTCTGAATGTGGACCTAAAGATCCTGTCCAAGATTTTAGCTATGCGTCTAGAAGGGGTGCTGCCTTTCCTTATCAATGAAGAACAAACTGGATTTATTAAAGGCCGCAACTCATACAATAATATGAGACAGTTGCTGAACATAGTCCAGTACTTTCAGCAGAAATCTCTAAACGGTCCTGTGCTTTCTCTGGACGTGGAGAAGGCTTTCGACCAGGTGGAAATAGCATACTTGTTTTACACGCTGCGTAGGTTCGGGTTTGGGGAAGGATTTGCAAACTGGGCAAGACCACTGTACGAAAATCCTTTATCGGCTGTGTGCACAAATGGATTGCGGTCTCCCTGTTTTAATATCTCAAGAGGCACGACAGGGCTGTCCTTTATCGCCACTGCTTTTTGCTCTTGCAATAGAACCCATTGCAGAGGCCATTAGGACCAATAAATCTATAAGTGGCCTTAAGATTGCAAACAGAGAGCATAAGATCACTCTCTATGCAGACGACGTCTTGATTGTAATGACAGAGCCTGAAATGTCTACATCTAGCTTGATCGAAACAATTGCTTTGTTTAGCCAGTTTCCGGTTATAAAATAAACTTTAGTAAATCTGAAGCTATGCCCCTGGGCAGGCTAAAAAACATACCTACATGGTCTTTCCCATTTATATGGTCACCTGGGGGTTTTGTCTACCTGGGAATAAAAATTACGCCCAATTTTGATCAAATGTACAAAGCTAACTTCTCCCCTCTGTTTGAACATATTCGGCTAAACCTAGAGAGGTTGAATATACTTCCTCTATCCTGGATAGGTAGAATTGMTTTTCTAAAAATGAATATTCTTCCGAGGTTACTCTACCCGATACAAATGGTCCCAGTAGTTTTCTCATGTAAAGCTGTAAARCATCTAAATGGCTGGTTTAGCTCCTTTATATGGTCAAAAACAAAGGCACGCCTTTAAATAGCTACACTATGTGGCTCTTCAGAAAGAGGAGGTTTAGACCTCCCAGATATTCAAAAATATCAACTTAGTGCTCACTTGCGCGTCATCGCTAACTGGGTTAATAATAAATCCACTTCATTTTGGATCGATATAGAGAATTCCATGTGCGAATGCCCATTAACATCCTTACTTTTTCTAAGGAAGATAAAATCTTTCCATTCAGTTTGTAAAATGGAATTTTACCAACTTTGGAAATTAGAAGGTAGGTCACGAACAACCTCAGTTTTTACCCCAATTTGCAATAACTCAGATTTCTTACCTGGAATAATGGATAACAGTTATAAAAATTGGGCTGACAAAGGAATATTTAAATTACAAGATTTAATGGAAGGTTCTGCTCTAATGTCATTCAAGCAGC